GCTCTAGTTCATACTTCTTCCGATGTAAAATGATTCCTTTCTCAGAGTATATAAATTCCATCCCTAGAAAGAAACTCATTTTTCCAAGATCTGTCATCTCAAACTCATTCATCAGAACTTTCTTGAACTTAGTTGTTTCTTGTTCAGAACTTCCTGTGAGTAATATGTCATCAACATACAAACAGACCAGAATCATATTACCTTCTGAAGTGTGCTGAACATAAACACCATACTCCATCTCACACTTCTGAAACCCTTGTTCCTTGAAAAACGAATCAATCTTCAAATTCCAAGCTCTGGGCGCTTGCTTCAGTCCATACAGAGCTTTATTTAACCTGTATACCATCCCTTCCTGATTCCTTTTCACAAATCCAGAAGGTTGTGACACATAAACTTCTTCCTGTAATGGACCGTTCAGAAATGTAGACTTCACATCCAGATGTATCAAAGGCCAATTTCTGTTTGCAGCTAAAGCAATCACCAGTCTGATTGTTTCGTGTCTAGCTACAGGCGCAAACACCTCAAAGTAATCTAGTCTAGGTTTCTGAAGAAAACCTATGGCCACTAGTCTCGCTTTGTGTTTGTCAATTGATCCATCTGGCTTTAGCTTCTGCTTGAAAACCCATCTAACGCTGATGGCTTTCTTGCCTTTTGGAAGTTCTGTCAGCTTCCAAGTCTTGTTTCTTTCAATAGCCTCAAGTTCTTCTTTCATGGAATTCAACCATACTTTCTTCTTGAGAGCTTCTTCAATACCCACTAGTTCAGAATCTACTAGCATGACACACTGAACGATTTCTCCTTCAGAATCTACTTCAGTATAATGCAACATGCTAAAATCTGCAAACCTATTTGGTATTCGTCTGATTCTCTGTGGCCTCTAATCTTGTTCTAAAGCTTCTCCAGAACTCGGAACAATGCTAGTTTCTGGACTTTGTCCAGAATTATTTCCTTCAGAATTACCATCTTCAGAGTTACTTCTGGAAACTTGTTCTCCAGACCCCATGTCTTCAGAGTTTTCCCTTCCAGAAGTATAATCACCACCAGATTCTGGATCACCATCAGAATTTGGATCAAATCCACTATCAAAATCTCCCTGGGATTCTGACTCTTCTTCAGAGTCCTCATCTTCTGACTCTGACTCGTCTTCAGAACTTTCTGAAGGATCTTCAGAAACTAACCCTGGTGTTGGCGCTACACCAGAATCTGATTGAAGCTTGTTCCAATCCCATGTTTCTGACTCTTTCACAATGACGTCTCTGCTGATTTCAACTTTGTTGGTTTCTGGACAATAAAACTTATAGGCACCTGTACTGTGGTACCCCGCCAGTAACATTATTTTGCTTCTATCATCCAGTTTTCGTCTTCTAGCCTCTGGAACGTGTTTGTAGCATACAGAACCAAACACCTTCAGATGGCTAACACTTTGCTTGTCTCCAGTCCATTTTTCTAAAGGAACAATTTCCTTCAGCTTCTTTGTTGGACACCTATTCAGAACATATGTTGATGTGCAACAACTTCTCCCCATAACATGTGAGGCAACTTCTTCTCTTTCAGCATACTTCTGGTCATATCAAGCAAAGTTATGTTTTTTCTTTAAGCAAGACCGTTGTGCTGAGGAGTATATGAAGCAGTAACCACATCTTCTATTCCATTCTCCTCACAGAACTTCTGGAACTCTGTAGAGTTATACTCACCTCCACCATCTGTTCTCAGAATCTTCAGCTTCTGACCACTCTGCTTCTCAGCCTTCACCTTGAACTTCTGGAACTCAATAAACACTTCATGCTTAAACTTGATGAGTGTTACCCATGTAATTCTTGTGAACTCATCCACAAAAGACATAAAATATTTGTTTCCTCCAAGTGAAGGTACTGGAAATGGTCCACACACATCAGAATGTACTACTCCCAGAGCATGCTTTGCTCTGGGGGCTACTTCTGATGCAAATGGCAATTTGGGTTGCTTGCCTTTCATGCATATCTCACATGACTTCTGAGGCTTCACAATCTTCGAAATGCCATGTACGAGCTTCTTAGAACTTAGATGCCCTAAGCTTATATAGTTCAAGTGCCCCAACCTCTTGTGCCACAACTTACTGTCAGCTTCAGCGCCTTCTGCACTAAGACACTCCGCTTCAGAAGTTTCTACATTCACCTTGAATGCTCTGTTGCTTCCCTGCTCAGACTTCATAATCAACTTCTGATTAGAATCATACAATATCAAGAGGTTATCCTTCATAACCACTGAAAAACATTTTTCAATAAGCTTACCCACACTCATCAGATTGCTTTTAATTCTAGGAACATACCAAACATCTTTGATCAGAATGTTTTTTCCATTCTTCAGTCTGACTCTGACATTTCCCATACCTTCTGCATTAAGGTACTTATCATCAGCACATCTGATCTTTGTTCTCCTTCTGGAGTCAAAGTCTATCAGCCATTGTTTATTCCCAATCAAGTGGTTTGAACAACCAGTGTCCATATACCATCAATCTTCTGAACAGTTTCCATCAGAATCAGAAGCCATCAGTAGCACAGGTTCATCATCAGAATCTTCTCTGGCTATATTTGCTTCTTCTGATTTCCTTCCCCTGTTTCTGCAGTCTCTGGCAAAATGGCCAAACTGTTTACAGCAGTAACATTGAACCTTCTTCTTGCCATACCTTTCCTTTCCCTTCTGATATTTCTTTTCATCAGAAGTTGAGGTTTCTGACTTATGGAATTTATCACCATGTCTATTCTGCTTCTGATCCTTCTTGACAAAAGAAGCTTTCAGAGCTTGCTCCACTTCCCTCTCAGAAGTTCTTTCAGTCAGACGCAACTCTTGCGCTTCTAGACTGCTTTGCAACTCTTCTATTCTCATGGTTTCTAGATTTTAGAATGTTCAATAGAAGCAACAATGTAATCAAACTGAGGAGTAAGTGACCTCATAATCTTTTCTATGATTACCTGTTTAGAAAGTGTTTCTCCACAAGCCTTCATCTCATTAGTGATCAGAATCATTCTGGAGATATACTCAGAAACTTTCTCACTGTTCTTCATGCTGAGATTTTCATATTGTTTTCGCAGGGACTGAAGCTTTACCTTTTTTACTGATACGTCACCACCATAACATCTGGTCAGTATATCCCATGCCCCTTTCGATGTCGTTGAATCAATAATCTTCTCAAACACATTTTCATCCACACACTGATAGATAAAAACAGAGCTTTCTGATCCCTCTTCCTCGTAGCTTTTTCTTCTGATTTTTGTTCTTCAGTAGCATCTTCTGCAACTGGAACATAACCTTCAGAAACAAGGTCCAGAACATCCTGAGCACCAAACAGCACATGCATTTGTATCTTCCATCTGTTCCAGTTTTTGCCATCAAAAACTGGAAGTTTAGTGTTCAAACTACTGCCTCCATTCATCTTAAACCTTGCACAAAAACTCAGATCTTAGATTTCTCACTCAGTGTTTCCCAAGCCCACAGAATCAGTGTGATTCTGTTTCAGATTTTTGTTCAAGATTCAAAAATCAAACACACAGCTCACTATCACTCGTGTTTCCCAGAATTTCAGAACAAACCAAGAGCTCTAGATACCAATTTGTTAGTGCAAGGGGATGGAATTGAGGAAGAAGAGAGAAAAGGAATAAATGCTAAAAGCTGCCACTAATGATTGAAGAAAATTGATTGTATTAAATGTAAACCTAGTACACCTATTTATATACAAAATAGTAAAGATAAGAATGCCACATAGGACCCAATGAGAATATCCTACAAATGACAAATATTAAATTACCCTCTAATATCTGTAACGTAACCATATCAATGGCAATTGTAACTGTAACCATATGAGACTTAAGTAATATATGTAATTGTTCACAAAAGCAATTGACACATATTAATGGTACCGGTAACTGTAACCATATCAATGGCGACAACGAGTGTAAGTTTATTAAAAAAAAAAAATCTTCACATATTAATGGTATCGATATTAAAAAGAAATTATACTATATACTTTGATCATCCATAACTTCATATGATTAACGTATTAAATTGGTTTTACACAAATTAAAAGATCTGTAAATTTCAATTTTAAAACCCTAATAAAAAATTTTCAATTTCATAAAAATAAAGTTCCAAAAAATATTAATTTGAACAAAAATACTAAAATTAACAGATAAATCAACAACATGAAAAATATTGATTTATATAATTGAAAAAATAACTCTAAAATCAAATTGAATTAAATATGGATAGCTCTGATATCATTTGTTAAATTTCATTCATAAATCTTATAATTTCTATCAATATAAAAATCAAGAATAGAACTCTAAATAAAACTGTTAAACTCGTATCTGAATACAATAATGACAATAAAAGTGGAAGCGTATTTGAATTTGTCATTGAGAATCGTCAAAGATTTGAGTATATGTGATCTTTTAATTTGTAGAGTTTCTTATGATTCATTGATTCTCCTCGGATAGAATGAAGAGAAAATTCTTAATAAATCATATTTTTGTGTTGTCTGTGAAATAAGAACCATAACTCCCTATAAATAATCTTATAGTTATTTCTTAGTATTTAATATTCTAATTTGACCACTCATAAATTAGATATTCTTATAGTATCTACACAATAACCTAATATTTAATGACATTTATATTTTTAACCACAAATTTAATATTATATTAATTAGACCTCTTTAAATCTTGACTAATCAAAATAATGACACAAACACTTTGAATGTTATATTTATGACCTAAAATTCTAACACTTAATTCAAATTTAAACAACTATAACGAATTGTACAATTAAATAAATATGATACCGCAAATTCAAACTCATGACTCTGCACTCATAAACGTAGTAATTCTAATGACAAATTTCAAAATATAGTAAATTCACAAAGTGCAACCAATGATGGACTATTATTATCTTAAATGAAATATCACGAGAGGTTTTTATCATAAAGAAAAAAAATAGAGAATGAGGAAAGCGAGTAATAATGAGTTTCAGAAAATATCGAGAATCTCAAGAATAGAACGATTACAAAGGGGACAGTTCCCTCGATTCAACCACAGTTCCCTTGAACACACTCTACAAAAAGTGTGTCCACACGGTATGAACGCTGCACCTTTCTTCCTTCCCATGCACACGCAGCACACCGAATCACTCCCCTCCGTAACCGTCGTCGTCGTACTCTCACTTTCCACTTCCGTTTCCTCCAACAGTTTCATCAACGAAACTCTCCACGGCGTCGCTCTTTCGCCGCCGCCAGTTTCCTCCGAACCTCTCATCTGACGCTCCGCCGCCAATGCCGCCGCAAGATTCATCCCAGAAGAGCTAGACGGATCCGGATTCGGATCTTGAACCTGTAATTCTTGTTGCTCCACATTAGCTTCTCCTTCTCCTCTTGCTTCCTCTTGTTGTCGTTGTTGTTGTTGTTGGTGGTGCTCGTGTCTGATAATTGGACGGAAAACCCAGGTGGCACCACAGCAACCACCGATACCGGTGAATCTGAACCGTTCTTTCAGACTACGTCTTCTTGTAGTTGATGAATCTGCACCGTCCATTTGTTCTGTTAGTAAACCGAGTAAGGTTCTTGCTTCTCTTTGAGGACGGAGCGATTCGTGTAATATGAGACCGAGTTGACTCATACTGACTCGGTAGATAGGGAGCGAGATCCGGTGAGATGCGTTGTACGGTACACTCTTTTGTTGAAATTGGAAAGTTTGTTGGAAGTTAGTGTGAGAGAGATAAGATAAAAGATAAAACTCAAATGATACAAGAGAAATGAAATTTGAGAGAGAGAGAGAGAGATGAGGAAACGGTTGTGTTTATTTAATGAATTGAGGTTATTTGTTGTTTGAGTTATACACCCAAAGTTTCCGAATTCAGGTTACAACGAAAAATACGTTACATAAGCAGACACTGTTCGGTGTTGACTACTTTACTATATTTGTGTTTGGGCCCCTTCTTTCATTAATTATTTTTTCATTATTTTGTTTTTGTACCTTGTATGATAAATTTGTAAAATATTGTGTTTGTGTATCTATTATAATTATTGTTATTTTGTTTTTTTGTATGGTTCAATTATGTATATTATTTTAATGTTTGGTCTATTTTAAATTTGCACTCATGAGATCATCAACAATAATTAATATGAGGTAATAGAAAATTAAACGTATATCCTAAAATATGCAATTTTAGAGAAGTCATAAAAAAATACCTTCTGAAATTCACTATACCGAGACTATAAAAATACAATTTAAAGACACATTCTCCTTTTAAAAATAATTTTTATAGTGTTATATATTTATCATTATTAAAAATTTTAGATTAAAAATAATGGGTTAAATATATTTAATTATAAATTTTATTTCTAAATTTTATTCATAATTTTTTATATTTTACTTTTAATCTATAATTTTTTAAAAGAATAGTCCTTCTGAAATTTTGCATTCAGATTTTTTGGTCTCTCCTATAAATTAACGACGATTTTCACAACTTAGCGATAATTTTAACGATGATTTTTTACTTAGAGACTGAATAAGTGATAGTTTTAACGACAGTTTAAACTCGAGGAACTAAAAGTGTGGATGAAAAATTTTAGAAAGACTATTCTTAAAAAAAAATATTTTAAGAGACTAAAAATAAAATATGAGATATTTATGAGAATCACAAACATGTTTAATCCAAAAATAATTACGAAGATTTTTAAAAAATATATATAAATGAAAGTTTGGTTTAAATAGTTATTTTAAAATGTTATTTTAAATATTTCATCATTTTTCTATATTTTTTTTGGGATATCAAAATTTTAAAAAATCACCTAAATTTGAAATTATTTCAAATAGTTTTTCATAAAAATCATTTGTTAGATACATCTTTTTAAAAAATTGTGATTTCAACTATGTTTTAATCTTGAATATAGTATTATGTTATAGGATGTTATAATTAGTCTTTCAATTTATAAAAAATAAATTTTAAGAACTTTTACTATATATATAAAAAAAATATTTTATAAAAAATATTTTTAAAAATACAAAGAATTTTTTTTTATTTTCTTAAAGCTAAAACATATCGGTCCTAAATGGGATAAGACGAAGTCAAGCTTGGGTGGTATCAAGATAAATAATGTAAATATAGTTATTTATATTATTCATGTGTCTAGAGCAGAGCTAATTGCGCGCATTCAGGTGCTCGAGCAAGACGTCATGGACACACTCGGCTATGGTTTCAACACGGCCGTGGAGCAGCTAAAGATTTTGAACCCGAGGGTCGAGATTGCAGTCGAAGGCGCGAGGCCGTTTAACCAAGTGTTTGATGGAAAAATCTTCTATCTTCCCCAAGATAACGACGGGGAGGATGAGTTTTAATGTTTTAGGATCTGCGTGCCCGTTCTTATTTTATTTTAGATTCGTGCCCTTCGTGCCTAATTTTGTAATTATTTAAATAACACCGGCCTTCGTGGTAGGCATTTATGAATGTCTTCATTTTGTCTTTATGCCTATTTATTTATAAATGATTGCTTGTCATTGTGTTTGACTTGCTTAATGTATGAAAGTTGGTATTTCTAAGGTTGGAGATTAGTGCTCGATCTTGGTTGTGATCGACACATATCGGATGTGTTGAGGAAATGGAGTATGGATCCGACGAATGAGCTCAAGATCGAGGTTAGGATGTTAAGCTCGCGGCGTGAATTACCCATCGCGAGTTGGGTGTTCTTCCTGTTGGGTACTTCGACAGTAGAGCTCGATTGAGGTGTCCCTGTCGGGCTAAGGTTCTGCTTGATAAATGAACAGCATCCCGCCGATGTTGATATTTGGAGGTCATGTCCGTAACTCAACATGCCTACGTGGTCGAGCTCATCCCGTCGTCGGTTGGAGAGGACTGATCGACTGCTGATAACACTTACTTTACACTTGTTTTTGACTCTGATTTCACATGTTATTTAGTTTTTTTATTATTGTTTTCTCGTATTATTCCTATCTTTTGTTTTCTTTTCAAGTATTTCAATTATCCAGAGCTCCCCTGAAGAAATGAAGGAAAACAAGCTGAAAAATAGGAGTTTAGGCCAAATTTGCACTCATGACGTCCACCATGGCTCCGACCATAGGGTAGGCCATGATGTGGTCCACCTTCTGCTGACCTCAACTGCCACGTTCCCCACTTCCTTTCATTTACACTCATGGCGGGCGCCATGGCCTCCATGGCGGGCGCCACCTTTGGACGATGTTTTCCCCCCCAAAAGGAGTTAAGGGGCATTCCTGTGATTTCCTGCATTCTTCATCCTCTATAAATAGAAGTTCCTAGTTTTATTTCAATTCACCCAAGCTTAGTTGCAAACTTGATCCAACCATAGTTGCGAACTTAAGCCATATAATTTCACCATTGTAAAGCGATAATTCTTCACATCGGGGAATTATTGCACTGTTGATTGAGTCTATGATCGAGTTCATAGATTGAGTATGTAATCGAGTTTGGAGCACTTCGGCAGAAGTTTATCCTGGCACATTTATTTTCAACTGTTGTTTATTTCCAGTCGCATTTTACTTCCAGTTTGTATAGGTTTCTATTCCCGCACCTGCTTTTACTTTGTTTATTTCCCGCACCTACTTTTACTTTGTTTATTTTCCGCATGATTTATTTTAACATGTCTGTTTACATTCTCATGTCAGGCTGAACCTTACTGGGCTAGAATGTAAGGAATCTAGTTAGATTGATATTCCAAATAATGTGTCAATAGAAATGCTTATGGGCTATTTTGGTTTTTAATACGAGTTATCTATACTTTATTGTTGTTGGGTAAGATCGAACGCCGTCCAACCCTTTGTTAAACTCGGTTAGTTCTAACTGGTCAAAGGAAGCGAAAGCGCTTTGTCCGGTTAGCTAGGGATTTTTATTATCAAAGAAATCAATTTTGAAACTATTTTCAGACGCGTTTATAGGGTTAAAGTCAGGTCCCCTTTTTATTAGAAATTCCAGATCAAAATACTTTTCAACTTGGTCAAGTACTTTATTTCTTAAAAATAGGTTTATTACTTTAACGCAATGCGTGCCTTTTTATAAGTGACGATAAGAAGGTCTGATTAGAGAGTAAACTCGGTTCTGATTACGCAAAAGCGACAGTTCCTGTTAAATTAGTTCTTTTCTTTAGTAGAAAATATTGCCCTATAAGTAGTTCTATTCCGAAGCATTACGAATATCATCTGACTATGTGAATTACATTCGAACCTGCTTTTATATCTGAAGTTTATTTCGCCGCACTTTACTTTCTTTCATGCTCAATTCCCTGTTTAATATTGACTTAGCTAAACACCGTAACAATAGGAAACGATAGATTGGCGATTGGTCTCTTTGGATCGATAATATTTTATATTACTCTGACGCGATTCGTACACTTGCTAATACACCGCACCAAGTTTTTGGCGCTGTTGCCGGGGATCAATTTCTTCAAATTTCGCACCCTATAGTCGCACCGTCTAAACTAAGTTTTACAGTCCGGTTGATGCGAAGATCTCGCAGCACCGGAACCTTATTCAATCCTTTAGCAGAACCTGAACGTTACATCCATTTTCTCCGTAGAATTAGAAAAACTATGGTCGGGAATCGTAACCAAAGACCCCTTAAGGAATTTGCCCAACCTTCAGATGAGGAACCTAGTTCAAGTATCGTAAACCTAGCTATAACCATAAATAATTTCGAACTAAAACCCTCATTGCTACAATTTGTGCAACAAAACCAATTCGGTGGCCTCGCTACTAAGAACCCGAATCAACACTTAAAAACTTTTATACAATTAGCAGACACTTTAAAATGCAATGGTGCTTCGCCTGAGGCAATACGACTAAGATTATTCCCTTTTTCCCTCAGAGATAAAGCACGAGATTGGTTGGATTCCCTTCCACCCAATTCAATAGCAACCTGGGAAGACCTTAGGAGAGTATTTCTCGCAAGATATTTTCCGCCCAGCAAAATTGTTGTCCTTAGCAACCAAATCACTAGATTTAACCAAAACCTGGGAGAATCACTTTTTGAAGCATGGAAGAGATATAAGGACATGTTAAGAGCATGTCCACACCATGGCCTATAACAATGGCTAATCATCAACACCTTCTATGATGGACTCCATTACAACACAAAGATGTCTATCGATGCTGCCGCTGGTGGCGCATTGATGAATAAACCTTACCTAGAAGCCTGCGCTCTCATTGAGGACATGGCCTAAAACCATTACCAATGGGGAACAAAACGAGCTACGGTAGAGAAAAAGGAGACCCAAGGAGGAAAATATGAGATAAGTTCTCTAGACATGATGCAAGTTAAAATGGACGCTCTTGCTTTAAAAGTTTAAAACATGTCTCAAAACCCTAATATTGTAGCCGCAGTAACTTCAGAATGCGAACTCTGTGGGACCCAAAGACATCAACCTACGGAATGCAACTTGTTGAATGAGCCTTTCTCAGACCAAGTAAACTACACCCAAGGAAACCCATTTTCAAACACTTACAACCCCAGATGGAGGAATCACCCAAACTTTTCTTATAAAAACAATAGCCCAATACAAAACTCTGCACCTCCGAGACCTACAGGTTTCCAAGCCCAAAGACCAAATCAACCTATGCAAGTTGTGGCACCTAAACAAAACCTTGAG